ACTCTCAAGGAATAAGGGACACCAGATTTTAAAGACAATCCTTTAAAGCATGGCTTAGAGCTTTACCCTGCAAAAGATCAAGCTACATAGAGAAAAGGGAAGTCTCCCCCCTGCACCTCAAATCAGATTTTCCCATATAGAGGGGTTCAAGCGTCAAAAGAGACTTTAGTCATTAGGTGTTCTCCTTCTGATTCTTAGGGTTTGTAAATCCAATGACTATTAGAGATTACTCCTCGGGGCTAGCCCGACCCCCGAGCATTGTGGGGCACACATTTCCCTATTAATTACAAAGAACGTCATTCTTACTATCTGCTTCTCTTCTTGCTATTAATGTCTAAACCTCATTAATAACCATGTTTAAGCAAACATTTTCAAAGTGCGTCAAAGTAATCAAAATGCGCCATAGTCAAAATAATCAAACCACTCATCACTACTGATTGACTAGAAACACAAAATAAAATTTTATCTCGTCATAAATAAAGTCGTGTTTCGCCAATGTTGTAAAAAAAGAAAACAAAAATCAAAAGAAGCCCATAAAAAGCCAAAGGCCAAAAATTGAGGGCAAGATACCCGGTAGGAAACCCACCAAAGGGGGCTACGCAAAAGTTAGGGTAAACCCGCTAGGAAACCCGAACAACCATAAAGGGTAGCCTAGACAAAAATTAGGGTTACAAAATAAAGTCCACTAGGTTTCCAAAACAAGGAAAAAGAAACCTAGACAAAAGTTAGGACAAAACAAAACACAACACCCTAAACTGAAAACCCAAAGGGCAGACTAGGGAAGTCAATCAGTCATAGCAAGCGCCATACAATAAGACGCCACTCCATAAACAAAACGTTTGTCTAAACTAGCCTAAACACTCTAACCAACCTTGGCTAGCCGTGCTTACAAAAACCATTTTTGTCAAAATAAAACAATTCTAAAACACAAGCCTTTGAATTCAATATCCTCTTCTTTCTCTTCTCTTGACCCTTACTACTACAACATTCTAGTAATTAGTAGGGAAATGTGGAGATAGTAATCAATAGGAGGATTGACATCCCCAAGGAAAGGGATGGGCGCACTGACATGACAAGTCGCTCTACAATCAACACAATCATTCTTCGATCACGACAAAGTCAAAGACGGCAAAATCGGTACAACCTATCATGTCGACAAAAAGCACATAACGTCGGAAGCTCATCAGAAGTAAAAGCACATTGGTTAATCCTTTTGAAAAATTAATTGAAATAGTATTATAGGATGCATATCGCCAACATTGCATGCATATGATAGGCTCCTATCTCTCAAAAAAAGAAGATAAAGAAAAAATGAGAATAAAAAGAACAATGCCTGCTAGGAGATTCTTAGGCAAAAGTTAGGGTAACCTGCTAGATCGAAAACCCGCAAAGGGCGGTCTAGGCAAAAGTTAGGGCATTCATAAAAAAGGAAAAAACCCGCTAAGATATCCTAGGCAAAAATTAAGGCAGCCCGCTAGACCGAAAACCCCAAAAGGGCGGTCTAGGCAAAAGATAGGGCTAAACCAAAAAATGAATAAAAGAGAGGGGTCCTTCATCATAATCATGAGAGTCCAGCAGGAGAATGCCAGTCACTTTTCCAGATGCATCAATCAAAAAGAAAAGATTGCATTTAAAGCATCCACACACAAGTAGTCGCACAAAACGACTTTGTCAAGGTAAAAAAAATAAAAAATCACTTCAAATAAAAAACAAAAACGAAAAGCATTCATGCATATAAGGAGAATAGCTCCATGTTTGTGATTGAAAACAGGATCACTGAGATTGAGTCTCCAAATAAAGCCTTCAAGAAAATGGAGCAAGTTGTCAATCAAGCGACTCATCAAAATAAGAGCTTCCAAAAATCAAGAGCTCCAGCTACCATCCTTCTACCCAGAAAAAGAAGGCACAAGAAAGTAATAAGTCTCCAAACATTGCTCTCCCTCAAGAAAGAAGAGTGAGTTGTCATAAGAAGCTTCCAGAAGCCAAAGCTCCAAACATCACCCAATAAAAGAGGGCACAATCATCAAGACATCATAAAAGAAAAGCTGACGGAAAGGCTTAGTCATCCCCAAGAGGATCCTTGCCTACCCCGAAGGCAAAACAAAAATACTCCTCACGACTCAGCATTACCACCACATGAGTCATCGAGCACACTCATCCAAAGTCTTCTCCACACTCCCCAACGGAGAATAAAGGCTCCAAGAACCCATCATCATCATCATCAACAGTCAAAAGAGTCCGATCTCCATACCATCAAGGGCTCAACATAAAGGAAAAAAGAAGAAAACCCTTGCATCCCCAGCGGATATCCAAAAGAAAGGGTCACAACAGAGAAGGTCGAATAAAAATCCCCAAGTGGATCTCCCTACAAAAAGGATGAATAAGGAAATCTCCATAATCTTCATAAGGTCAGCTCGCATCAACATTAATCAAGGAGCCAGGACTCCATCCCAGAAAAATCGGATCCCCATGGAAGTTAATAATCCCTTGATGGATCACCTAAGAAAATTTATCCCCTGCGGATCCCCAAAGAGAAGAAAAGCCTGTGTGCATAAAAAGAAACTAAAAAGTAACAAGGCGCATGCATTATCCCAATAAAAAAGCCAGATTTCAAAATCGCGATAAAAAAGAGATAAATCGTGGAAAAAGGCAAAATCAAATAAAAATCCTAACTTCCAGGAAATCAAATCCCTAGAGTGGGTCACCACAGAAAAAGGGAAAATCAACTCCCCCAACAGAATAAGAGCATCACAAACGCCAGCTCACACCCACATCAATTAAGGAGTCAAAACTCCATTCCCTCGGGGGCAAATCAAAATTAGATCCCAGGAAGGCAATCAATTCCCAGGTGGATCACCAAAATAAATCATCTCTAGTGAGCCTACGACAAAGGCAAATTCCAAACTCACATCCTTAGAAGGGTCATTTGCCTAGGCGTAGGCAAGATCCGGCGAGCAAGAGCCAATTTCCCCGAAAGGGACATCAACCTATTCGGAGGCAAGCAAGTATAAAGTCTTCACCACTAATGAAGCATCCGCCTACTCAGAGGCACAGGAAACAAAAAAACATAAAAACTCCATTTCCCCAGAGAAATAAGAGCTTGAAGAAACCGGCTCTCATCAACACCAAACAAGGAGTCACAACTCCATCCCCCAAAAGGCGACCAAAATTAGATCCCCAAGGAGTCAAGCAACTCCCTAGCGAGATCACCAAAAAAACTTACCCGGAGAGCCTACTGCAAAGGCAAAACTTCAAACGCATATCCTCGGAAAGCTACTTGCCTAACATGGATATCCCTAGTGGAACGCATAGGCAAAACCTTGCAAGCAAAAAAGCAACATTAGCCTATTCAGAGGCAAAGAAAAAAGCAAAACCAAAAGTCTTCACCTCCAAACGGAACATCGGCCTACTCAAGAGGCGTCACCAAGATCAACAAATCCCCAGAGGATTCCTGCCTACCTAAGAGGCACTTATCAAAAAATCCCCGACAACCAGCAAAGTCGGATGACCACCACAAAAACAAAGAATCCCTAGCAATCAACAAGCTGGACGAACACCAACAGAATCCCCGGCACAGACCGGACGACAATTCCCATAAAAGACAAAAAACAAAGACAGAACACATCTCAACAACGAACTGCATTTACCACCCTGATGGGGGGTTCATACCCATCCAGTCCCACACAACGGACTGCATTTACCAGCCTGATGGGGGGTTCATACCCATCCAGTCCCACACAACGGACTGCAACTACCAACCTGATGGGGGGTTTATACCCATCAACCGAAGGATCGGCTACCGTCAGAAGGAGTATCCTGAGGTTTTACCACGTGTCCACCGAAGGGATCAGCTACGTCAGAAGTAGTATCCTGGAAGTGCACCAACACAGAAATCACTCCCCAGTGAAACGGCGCATGGTCAGAATCAGTAAGCCGCCACCACGGCCAAAGGATCAGCTACCGCAAGATGGAGCATCCGGAGGCTTAACCACCAGATGGAGGTGCGTACTCATTAGGCCTTACAGAAGAGGGCTTACCAGACGGGGGTTCATACTCGTCAAACACCAGATGGGGGTGTGTACTCATCAGGCCTTACAGAAGGGCTTATCGGGCGGGGGTTCATACTCGTCAAACCAGATGAGAGTTCATTCTCATCAGCCGGTGGGGTCAGCTACCGCGTCAAAGGAGCATCCCAGAGGCGCACAACACATCTCCCCAGAAGGTCATCCACCGCAAAGACAGAGTATCTGAAGGGAAATCGGGCAAGAGGGTCAACTCCTTTACCCTCCAATCGGTCACCTCAGTACAAAAGGCTAGCAGTCGACTGGTCGGGAAAAGGGGGGGCAGCTGTAGACCCCAAATCTTGCCCGGCCTCAGAATAAAGTCAGAAAGCGTCCTATTTGAAGACGGCCGAAGCTTAACAAGTCATTAGGAGAGACTATTGGGCTCCCGTACCAAGATAGGAAGGTTTTTTGGCCCGAAAATAAAGTTTCTCGCCCTGAAGGGACGAGACCGCCGTCTGGAAGGACCAGACCGCCGTCTCGTCTCAACGCCAGGACGAGACCGCTGCCTTGATTGTCCATACGGCGGTCTCGTCTCCTGCAAAGGTCAAGACGACGGTCTGGATTTTCCAGACGGCGGTCTCGATTCCTGCCTAGTCGAGACGGCGGTCTGGATTATCCAGACGGCGGTCTCGACCCTTTGCCATGAACGAGACGGCGGTCTAGACTTTCCAGACGGCGGTCTCGACCTTGTCAGAGGAAACGACGGTCTCCATTCCAAACTTCTTCTCCATCCCAAACTTCTTCCCCATCCATACTTTCTTCTTTATCCTTAATTTCTTCTCCATCCAAAACTTCTTCTTCCTTGACTTCGTCTCCTTCCTAAACTTCTTCTTCTTTAACTTCTTCTCCATACTTCGGTTCTTCTCCTCCATTCCAAACTTCTCCTCCATTCCAAACTTCTTCTCCATCCTAAACTTCTTCCACATCCATACTTTCTTATTTACCCTTAACTTCTTGTCCATCCAAAACTTCTTCTTCTTCTTCCTTAACTTCTTCTCCTTCCTTCACTTCTTCTCCATCCCAAACTACTTCTCCATCCTTAACTTCTTCTTCTCCTTCCCTAACTTGTTCTATATCCTTAACTTCTTCTCCTTCCCTAACTTGTTCTTCATTCTCCATCCTCCTTAACTTCTTCTGCTTCCTTAACTTCATTCTACATCCCAAGTTTCTTCTCCATCCTTAACTATATAATCTCCTATCCTATCTCATCCCATCCGAAAGTTCTTCTCCTTCCTTAATTTCTTCTCCATACTTAGTAGATTCTTCTCCATTCCAAACTTCTTCTCCATCCCAAACTTCTTCCCCATCCATACTTTCTTCTTGATCCTTAACTTCTTCTCCATCCAAAACTTCTTCTTCCTCGACTTCGTCTGCTTCTTAAACTTCTTCTTCTTCAACTTCTTCTCCATACTTCAGTTCTTCTCCTCCATTCCAAACTTCTCCTCGATCCCAAACTTCTTCTGCATCCTTAACTTCTTCTCCATCCCAAACTTCTTCCACATCCATACTTTCTTCTTTACCCTTAACTTCTTCTCCATCCAAAACTTCTTCTTCTTCTTCTTCTTCCTTAACTTCTTCTCCTTCCTTCACTTCTTCCCCATCCCAAACTACTTCTCCATCCTTAACTTCTTCTTCTCCTTCCCTAACTTATTCTCTATCCTTAACTTCTTCTTCTCCTTCCCTAACTTGTTCTCCATCCTTAACTTCTTCTTCTTCCCTAACTTGTTCTTCATTCTGCACTTTTTCACCTTCCCTAACTTCTTCTCCATACTCCTTAACTTCTTCTGCTTCCTTAACTTCAGTCTACATCCCAAGTTTATTCTCCATCCTTAACTATATAATCTCCTATCCTATCCCATCCCATCCGAATTTCTTCTCCTTCCTTCACTTCTTCTTCCTTAATTTCTTCTCCATACTTAGTAGATACTTCTCCATTCCAAACTTCTTCTCCATCCCTAACTTCTTCCCCATCCATACTTTCTTCTTTATCCTTAACTTCTTCTCCATCCAAAACTTCTTCTTCCTTGACTCCGTCTCCTTCCTAAACTTCTTCTTCCTTAACTTCTTCTCCATACTTCGGTTCTTCTCCTCCATTCCAAACTTCTCCTCCATCCCAAACTTCTTCTCCATCCTTAGCTTCTTCTCCATCCCAAACTTCTTCCCCATCCATACTTTCTTCTTTACCCTTAACTTCTTCTCCATCCAAAACTTCTTCTTCTTCTTCCTTAACTGCTTCTCCTTCCTTCACTTCTTCCCCATCCCAAACTACTTCTCCATCCTTAACTTCTTCTTCTCCTTCCCTAACTTGTTCTCCATCCTTAACTTCTTATCCTTCCCTAACTTGTTCGTCATTCTTCACTTTTTCTCCTTCCCTAACTTCTTCTCCATCCTCCTTAACTTCTTCTGCTTCCTTAACTTCATTCTACATCCCAAGTTTCTTCTCCATCCTTAACTATATAATCTCCTATCCTATCCCATCCCATCCGAAAGTTCTTCTCCTTCCTTAACTTCTTCTTCCTTAATTTCTTCTCCATACTTAGTAAATTCTTCTCTATTCCAAACTTCTTCCCAATCCATACTTTCTTCTTTATCCTTAACTTCTTCTCCATCCAAAACTTCTTCTTCCTTGTCTTCGTATCCTTCCTAAACTTGTTCTTCCTTAACTTCTTCTTCATACTTCGGTTCTTCTCCTCCATTCCAAACTTCTCCTTCATCCCAAACTTCTTCTCCATCCTTAACTTCTTCTCCATCCCAAACTTCTTCCCCATCCATACTTTCTTCTTTACCCTTAACTTCTTCTCCATCCAAAACTTCTTCTTCTTCTTCTTCCTTAACTTCTTCTCCTTCCTTCACTTCTTCCCCATCCCAAACTACTTCTCCATCCTTAACTTCTTCTTCTCCTTCCCTAACTTGTTCTCCATCCTTAACTTCTTCTCCTTCCCTAACTTGTTCTTCATTCTTCACTTTTTCTCCTTCCCTAACTTCTTCTCCATCCTCCTTAACTTCTTCTGCTTCCTTAACTTCATTCTACATCCCAAGTTTCTTCTCCATCCTTAACTATATAATCTCCTATCCTATCCCATCCCATCCGAAAGTTCTTCTCCTTCCTTAACTTCTTCTTCCTTAATTTCTTCTCCATACTTAGTAGATTCTTCTCCATCCCAAACTTCTTCCCCATCCATACTTTCTTCTTTATCCTTAACTTCTTCTCCATCCAAAACTTCTTCTTCCTTGACTTCGTCTCCTTCCTAAACTTCTTCTTCTTCCTTAACTTCTTCTCCACTTCTTCTCCACAAAACTTCTTCTTCTTCTTCCTTAACTTCTTCTCCTTCCTTCACTTCTTCCCCATCCCAAACTACTTCTCCATCCTTAACTTCTTCTTCTCCTTCCCTAACTTGTTCTCCATCCTTAACTTCTTCTCCTTCCCTAACTTGTTCTTCATTCTTCACTTTTTCTCCTTCCCTAACTTCTTCTCCATCCTCCTTAACTTCTTCTGCTTCCTTAACTTCATTCTACATCCCAAGTTTCTTCTCCATCCTTAACTATATAATCTCCTATCCTATCCCATCCCATCCGAAAGTTCTTCTCCTTCCTTAACTTCTTCTTCCTTAATTTCTTCTCCATACTTAGTAGATTCTTCTCCATCCCAAACTTCTTCTCCATCCCAAACTTCTTCCCCATCCATACTTTCTTCTTTATCCTTAACTTCTTCTCCATCCAAAACTTCTTCTTCCTTGACTTCATCTCCTTCCTAAACTTCTTCTTCCTTAACTTCTTCTCCATACTTCGGTTCTTCTCCTCCATTCCAAACTTCTCCTCCATCCCAAACTTCTTCTCCATCCCAAACTTCTTCCCCATCCATACTTTCTTCTTTACCCTTAACTTCTTCTCCATCCAAAACTTCTTCTGCTTCTCCTTCCTTCACTTCTTCCCCATCCCAAACTACTTCTCCATCCTTAACTTCTTCTTCTCCTTCCCTAACTTGTTCTCCATCCTTAACTTCTTCTCCTTCCCTAACTTGTTCTTCATTCTTAACTTTTTCTCCTTCCCTAACTTCTTCTCCATCCTCCTTAACTTCTTCTGCTTCCTTAACTTCATTCTACATCCCAAGTTTCTTCTCCATCCTTAACTATATAATCTCCTATCCTATCACATCCCATCCAGAAAGTTCTTCTCCTTCCTTAACTTCTTCTTCCTCTAATTTCTTCTCCATACTTAGTAGATTCTTCTCCATTCAAACTTCTTCTCCATCCAAAACTTCTTCCCCATCCATACTTTCTTCTTTATCCTTAACTTCTTCTCCATCCAAAACTTCTTCTTCCTTGACTTCGTCTCCTTCCTAAACTTCTTCTTCCTTAATCTTCTTCTCCATACTTCGGTCTTCTTCTCCTCCATCCCAAACTTCTTCTCCATCCTTAACTTCTTCTCCATCCCAAACTTCTTTCCCATCCATACTTTCTTCTTTACCCTTAACTTCTTCTCCATCCAAAACTTCTTCTTCTTCTTCCTTAACTTCTTCTCCTTCCTTCACTTCTTCCCCATCCCAAACTACTTCTCCATCCTTAACTTCTTCTTCTCCTTCCCTATCTTCTTCTCCATCCTTAACTTCTTCTCCTTCCCTAACTTGTTCTTCATTCTTCACTTTTTCTCCTTCCCTATCTTCTTCTCCATCCTCCTTAACTTCTTCTGCTTCCTTAACTTCATTCTACATCCCAAGTTTCTTCTCCATCCTTAACTATATAATCTCCTATCCTATCCCATCCCATCCGAAAGTTCTTCTCCTTCCTTAACTTCTTCTTCCTTATTTTCTTCTCCATACTTAGTAGATTCTTCTCCATCCCAAACTTCTTCCCCATCCATACTTTCTTCTTTATCCTTAACTTCTTCTCCATCCAAAACTTCTTCTTCCTTGACTTCGTCTCCTTCCTAAACTTCTTCTTCTTTAACTTCTTCTCCATACTTCGGTTCTTCTCCTCCATTCCAAACTTCTCCTCCATCCCAAACTTCTTCTCCATCCTTAACTTCTTCTCCATCCCAAACTTCTTCCCCATCCATACTTTCTTCTTTACCCTTAACTTCTTCTCCATCCAAAACTTCTTCTTCTTCTTCCTTAACTTCTTCTCCTTCCTTCACTTCTTCCCCATCCCAAACTACTTCTCCATCCTTAACTTCTTCTTCTCCTTCCCTAACTTGTTCTCCATCCTTAACTTCTTCTCCTTCCCTAACTTGTTCTTCATTCTTCACTTTTTCTCCTTCCCTAACTTCTTCTCCATCCTCCTTAACTTCACTTCCTTAACTTCATTCTACATCCCAAGTTTCTTCTCCATCCTTAACTATATGATCTCCTATCCTATCCTATCCCATCCCATCCGAAAGTTCTTCTCCTTCCTTAACTTCTTCTTCCTTAATTTCTTCTCCATACTTAGTAGATTCTTCTCCATCCCAAACTTCTTCCCCATCCATACTTTCTTCTTTATCCTTAACTTCTTCTCCATCCAAAACTTCTTCTTCCTTGACTTCGTCTCCTTCCTAAACTTCTTCTTCCTTAACTTCTTCTCCATACTTCGGTTCTTCTCCTCCATTCTCCTCCTCATCCCAAACTTCTTCTCCATCCCAAACTTCTTCCCCATCCATACTTTCTTCTTTACCCTTAACTTCTTCTCCATCCAAAACTTCTTCTTCTTCCTTAACTTCTTCTCCTTCCTTCACTTCTTCCCCATCCCAAACTACTTCTCCATCCTTAACTTCTTCTTCTCCTTCCCTAACTTGTTCTCCATCCTTAACTTCTTCTCCTTCCCTAACTTGCTCTTCATTGTTCACTTCTTCTCCTTCCCTAACTTCTTCTCCATCCTCCTTAACTTCTTCTGCTTCCATAACTTCATTCTACATCCCAAGTTTCTTCTCCATCCTTAACTATATAATCTCCTATCCTATCCCATCCCATCCGAAAGTTCTTCTCCTTCCTTAACTTCTTCTTCCTTAATTTCTTCTCCATACTTAGTAAATTCTTCTCTATTCCAAACTTCTTCCCAATCCATACTTTCTTCTTTATCCTTAACTTCTTCTCCATCCAAAACTTCTTCTTCCTTGTCTTCGTATCCTTCCTAAACTTGTTCTTCCTTAACTTCTTCTTCATACTTCGGTTCTTCTCCTCCATTCCAAACTTCTCCTTCATCCCAAACTTCTTCTCCATCCTTAACTTCTTCTCCATCCCAAACTTCTTCCCCATCCATACTTTCTTCTTTACCCTGAACTTCTTCTCCATCCAAAACTTCTTCTTCTTCTTCTTCCTTAACTTCTTCTCCTTCCTTCACTTCTTCCCCATCCCAAACTACTTCTCCATCCTTAACTTCTTCTTCTCCTTTCCTAACTTGTTCTCCATCCTTAACTTCTTCTCCTTCCCTAACTTCTTCTTCATTCTTCACTTTTTCTCCTTCCCTAACTTCTTCTCCATCCTCCTCAACTTCTTCTGCTTCCTTAACTTCATTCTACATCCCAAGTTTCTTCTCCATCCTTAACTATATAATCTCCTATCCTATCCCATCCCATCCGAAAGTTCTTCTCCTTCCTTAACTTCTTCTTCCTTAATTTCTTCTCCATACATAGTAGATTCTTCTCCATCCCAAACTTCTTCCCCATCCATACTTTCTTCTTTATCCTTAACTTCTACTCCATCCAAAACTTCTTCTTCCTTGACTTTGTCTCCTTCCTAAACTTCTTCTTCCTTAACTTCTTCTCCATACCAAACATTTTCTCCATCCTTCACTTCTTCTCCATCCCAAACTTCTCCTCCATCTTTAACTTCTTATCCATTCAAAACTTCTTCTTCTTCTTCCTTAACTTCTTCTCCTTCTTTCACTTCTTCCCCATCCCAAAATACTTCTCCATCCTTAACTTCTTCTTCTCCTTTCCTAACTTGCTCTACATCCTTAACTTCTTCTCCTCCCCAAACTTGTTCTTCATTCTTCACTTTTTCACCTTCCCTAACTTCTTCTCCATCATCCTTAACTTCTTCTGCTTCCTTAACTTCATTCTACATCCCAAGTTTCTTCACCATCCTTAACTATATAATCTCCTATCCTATCCCATCCCATCCGAATTTCGATTCCTTCCTTAACTTCTTCTTCCTTAATTTCTTCTCCATACTTAGTAGATTCTTCTCCATCCCAAACTTCTTCTCCATCCCAAACTTCTTCCCCATCCATACTTTCTTCTTTATCCTTAACTTTTTTTCCATCCAAAACTTCTTTTTCCTTGACTTCATCTCCTTCCTAAACTTCTTCTTCCTTAACTTCTTCTCCATACTTCGGTTCTTCTCCTCCATCCCAAACTTCTTCTCCATCCCAAACTTCTACCCCATCCATACTTTCTTCTTGACCCTTAACTTCTTCTCCATCCAAAACTTCTTCTTCTTCTTCCTCAACTGCTTCTCCTTCCTTCACTTCTTCCCCATCCCAAACTACTTCTCTATCCTTAACTTCTTCTTCTCCTTCCCTAACTTGTTCTCCATCCTTAACTTCTTCTCCTTCCCTAACTTGTTCTTCATTCTTCACTTTTTCTCCTTCCCTAACTTCTTCTCCATCCTCCTTAACTTCTTCTGCTTCCTTAACTTCATTCTACATCCCAAGTTTCTTCTCCATCCTTAACTATATAATATCCTATCCTATCACATCCCATCCGAAAGTTCTTCTCCTTCCTTAAATTCTTCTTCCTCTATTTCTTCTCCATACTTAGTACATTCTTCTCCATCCAAAACTTGTTCCCCATCCATACTTTCTTCTTTATCCTTAACTTCTTCTCGATCCAAAACTTCTTCTTCCTTGACTTCGTCTCCTTCCTAAACTTCTTATTCCTTATCTTCTTCTCCGTACTTCGGTTCTTCTCCTCCATCCCAAACTTCTTCTCCATCCTTAACTTCTTCTCCATCCCAAACTTCTTTCCCATCCATACTTTCTTCTTTACCCTTAACTTCTTCTCCATCCAAAACTTCTTCTTCTTCTTCCTTAACTTCTTCTCCTTCCTTCACTTCTTCCCCATCTCAAACTACTTCTACATCCTTAACTTATTCTTCTCCTTCCCTAACTTGTTCTCCATCCTTAACTTCTTCTCCTTCACTAACTTGTTCTTCATTCTTCACTTTTTCTCCTTCCCTATCTTCTTCTCCATCCTCCTTAACTTCTTCTGCTTCCTTAACTTTATTCTACATCCCAAGTTTCTTCTCCATCCTTAACTATATAATCTCCTATCCTATCCCATCCCATCCGAAAGTTCTTCTCCTTCCTTAACTTCTTCTTCCTTATTTTCTTTTCCATACTTAGTAGATTCCTCTCCATTCCAAACTTCTTCCCCATCCATACTTTCTTCTTTATCCTTAACTTCTTCTCCATCCAAAACTTCTTCTTCCTTGACTTCGTCTCCTTCCTAAACTTCTTCTTCTTTAACTTCTTCTCCATACTTCGGTTCTTCTCCCCCATTCCAAACTTCTCCTCCATCCCAAACTTCTTCTCCATCCTTAACTTCTTCTCCATCCCAAACTTCTTCCACATCCCTACTTTCTTCTTTACCCTTAACTTCTGCTCCATCCAAAACTTCTTCTTCTTCTTCCTTAACTTCTTCTCCTTCCTTCACTTCTTCCCCATCCCAAACTACTTCTCCATCCTTAACTTCTTCTTTTCCTTCCCTAACTTGTTCTCCATCCTTAACTTCTTCTCCTACCCTAAGTTGTTCTTCATTCTTCTCTTTTTCTCCTTCCCTAACTTCTTCTACATCCTCCTTAACTTCATTCTACATCCCAAGTTTCTTCTCCATCCTTAACTATATAATCTCCTATCCTATCCTTTCCCATCCCATCCGAAAGTTCTTCTCCTTCCTTAACTTCTTCTTCCTTAATTTCTTCTCCATACTTAGTAGATTCTTCTCCATCCCAAACTTCTTCCCCATCCATACTTTCTTCTTTATCCTTAACTTCTTCTCCATCCAAAACTTCTTCTTCCTTGACTTCGTCTCCTTCCTAAACTTCTTCTTCCTTAACTTTTTCTCCATACTTAGGTTCTTCTCCTCCATTCCAAACTTCTCCTTTATCCCAAACTTCTTCTCCATCCCAAACTTCTTCCCCATCCATACTTTCTTCTTTACCCTCAACTTCTTCTCCATCCAAAACTTCTTCTTCTTCCTTAACTTCTTCTCCTTCCTTCACTTCTTCCCCATCCCAAACTACTTCTCCATCCTTAACTTCTTCTTCTCCTTCCCTAACTTGTTCTCCATCCTTAACTTCTTCTCCTTCCCTAACTTGTTCTTCATTCTTCACTTCTTCTCCTTCCCTAACTTCTTCTCCATCCTCCTTAACTTCTTCTGCTTCCATAACTTCATTCTACATCCCAAGTTTCTTCTCCATCCTTAACTATATAATCTCCTATCCTATCCCATCCCATCCGAAAGTTCTTCTCCTTCCTTAACTTCTTCTTCCTTAATTTCTTTTCCATTCCAAACTTCTTCTCCATCCCAAACTTCTTCCCCATCCATACTTTCTTATTTATCCTTAACTTCTTCTCCATCCAAAACATCTTCTTCCTTGACTTCGTCTCCTTCCTAAACTTCTTCTCCATACTTCGGTTCTTCTCCTCCATTCCAAACTTCTCCTCCATCCCAAACTTCTTCTCCATCCTTAACTTCTTCTCCATCCCAAACTTCTTCCCCATCCATACTTTCTTCTTTACCCTTAACTTCTTCTCCATCCAAAACTTCTTCTTCTTCTTCCTTAACTTCTTCTCCTTCCTTGACTTCTTCCCCATCCCAAACTACTTCTCCATCCTTAACTTCTTCTTCTCCTTCCCTAACTTGTTCTCCATCCTTAACTTCTTCTCCTTCCCCAACTTGTTCTTCATTCTTCACTTTTTCTCCTTCCCTAACTTCTTCTCCATCCTCCTCAACCTCTTCTGCTTCCTTAACTTCATTCTACATCCCAAGTTTCTTCTCCATCCTTAACTATATAATCTGTTGAACATTCAAGGACTTGATGTTGCACTTGATGAACATGAAGATTGTTGATTTTGATGATGATGATGATCCAAGAACTCAAAGACTTAGTGTGTTGAAGACTTGTTTTGTATTGTAATAACTCTATTTTAATTAGATTGAGTCTGTAATATTAGAGTTTAAGATAGCCGGTACATAGTCTGCTCCTTAGAAGCTTCAAAAAGCCCAAATATATCATCCAGGCTCGGCTTTAATCGATTATATAGGGAAATAATCGATTAAAACAGTGAGAAAACCATTTTCTGTATAAACTCACTGCTTTAATCGATTAAACTTCAAAATAATCGATTATTACGTCTGATAATCGATTAAAACGCCTAATAATCGATTAAAACGGAGAGTTTTTGGGTTCTGTTGTTTTTTGCTTTGTTTTAATCGATTATAACTCCATTTAATCGATTATTTCAGTCTGTTTTTGATTTTAAACTTCAAATTAACCCTATTTTTGAAAACCCAATTACCAAGAGCCCTAGTTTCAAAATCCCCAATTCCTAAACCCTAATTTCTCTACTAAAACTCTTCTTTGGCACTCAGAAAAAAATGAACAACCTTTTCCATACAAAAGTTAAAGTGCTGTGAGTGCCAGAGAACTGTTTGTTGCAAGGAAAGGGGGCTTTTGGAACCTGGTGTGGGCTAGAAGCGATAAGAATCACTAAGTGGAGTTCTTAGTGGATTGTGTGTTGTGTCGTCTCTAGGGAAAGTTGTTCATCATCTCTTGTGGATTTCAAGAGAGGTGTTTTCGTATCTTTATCTTTTCAATTGTAATCTGTTTGTAACAACTTGTTTATAGTGACAGCGTTAATCCTCTATTGAGTGATTAGCAACTGGACGTAGGGTCTTTTGATCCGAACCAGTATAAATCTCCTATGTAATATTCTCTTCTCTTCTCTATTTACATTTACACAGTTTTTAATCGGTAAAATTTGGGGAAAATTTTGAAAACCTAATTTTTATTAAGAAACTAATTCACCCCCCTCTTGGTTTTTGTCCGACCACGCGATCATTCCACTGCGCGATTCTAACAAGTGGTATCAGAGCTTGCTTTGATAGTCATTCAAATTTTTGAAAATGGCCGGACAAAATCAAACTTTTGCCGAAGGTGCGTCTATCAACAGACCCCCACTTTTTGTGGGTCAAAATTATCCTTTTTGGAAGGTAAGAATGCAAATCTTTTTAGAGTCTGTTGATAGAGGCGTTTAAGACGCTATTTTAAACGGTCCATATATTCCTAAAGTTACTGAGAACGGTGTTGACGTTCCCAAACCTTTTTCTAGATGGACTGTAGAAGAAAACAGAAAAGCACAATTTGACGTTAGGGCTAGAAATATAATTTAATCTGCTTTAACCCTTGATGAGTTTTACAGGATATCATTTTGTAAGAGTGCTCAAGAAATGTGGGATAAACTAAGAGTAACTTATGAAGGAACCGATGATAGTAACTCGATTTCGGAGTCAAGTGATCTGGAAATGGAAGCTAACATTTGCTTGTTGGCAAAAGACAATATATCTTCCGACTTTGAGGTTAGTGATTCCGACTCATCATCAAGTGATGATGAAAATGATTTTGATAAATTACAAAATGCATATAATGAATTGTTTAGTGCCTTTAAGGACTTGAAAAATGAATATAAAGCTGTGAAAAAGAGCTTAAGAAGATCCGAAAAGGAGGTAGAGTCCTTAAAAACGAAAATTGTATGTTTAGAGAAAAAGGAGTCCTTAAAAACGAAAATTTCATGTTTAGAGGAAAAGGAAACCTTAGAAACGAAAATTGTATGCATAGATGAGAATGATGATAAGAATATAGCATGTGCATCATGTAAAGAGAATGAACATGATATTGATTTACTTAGACATTTGCTTGATAAAGCTAAAAAGGAATTAAGTGATAGTTATAAGAATAAGGATAGTGTTCAAATTAAAGAAAATTGTCATGTTCCTTTGAAAAAGCCTAAAAGTAAAAATAGAAGAGTATGGGTTGAAAAAGGAACCAAAACTTCAATTGTTAGAAATGTATCATATTCTAAAATTACATCGAATGCATGCTTTTATTGTATGAAACATGGTCATACTTCAAATAGATGTAAAATCAAACATTTTGGTGTTCCTAAAGGAAAATATATTTGGGTTCCTATAGTTAAATGAATTGTTTGTCTCTTGTATTTATTCAAAGAAAATTGATCATTTAGTATGTTTTAAAATAGAATGCTCATTAGGTCAATTATTAAATCTACTCCCTATGAATTGTTTAATGGTAGAAAACCTAATGTTGCTCATTTAAAGATTTTTGGATGTAAATGTTTTGTGCTAAATAATGGAAAGGACAATCTAGGAAAATTTGATTCAAAAGCCGATGAGGGCATTTTTCTAGGATATTCATTAAATAGCAAGGCATATAGAGTGTTTAATAGGAGAACTTTAAATATAGAAGAATCTATACATGTTACCTTTGATGAGATTGTAGACCTTGGGGGAAATCCTCTTGAGTCAAATAAAGAACTTGCAGGTGATGATGAATACATAAGAGAGGCCCTTGATGAATTATACTTGGAAAATAATGAGCCTTCTCAAACTCCTCAATTAGCAAAAGAATGACAATCACCTAGAGGACTCTCAATGGACAACATCATAGGTGACATCTCAAAAGGGGTAAGAACTAGAAATATGACAAATTTTCTGTATGTCTGTTGCTTTTGTGTCACAGATTGAACCTAAAAACATTAAGGAAGCACTTAAAGATGATCAATGGTGCATAGCCATGCAAGAAGAACTTAACCAATTTGAAAGAAATCAAGTCTGGGAATTAATCCCAAGAGAAGAGTCACATCAAGTTATTGGAACTAAATGGGTATTCAGAAATAAGCTTGATGAAGATGGAAACATAACAAAGAATAAAGCCAGACTTGTTGCAAAAGGCTATTGTCAGGAGGAAGGTATAGATTATGATGAAACTTATGCTCCTGTTGCCAGGTTAGAGGCTATACGCCTACTTCTTGCTTATGCATCTATGATGAAATTTAAATTATATCAAATGGATGTAAAGAGTGCATTTTTAAATGGTTTTATTAAAGAAGAAGTGTATGTAGAGCAACCCCCTGGATTTGAGGATTTTAATTATCCTAATCATATTTTCAAATTAAAGAAAGCATTATATGGGTTGAAACAAGCTCCTAGATCTTGGTATGAAAGATTAAGTAGTTTCCTAACTGCAAATGATTTTTCAAGAGGAAAAATTGATTCTACACTATTTATTAAGAAAGTTAAAGAACATATCTTATTGGTCCAGGTATATGTTGATGATATCATTTTTGGATCAACTGATAATTCGTTATGTGTAGAATTTGCTAAGATAATGCAGGGAGAGTTTGAAATGTCTATGATGGGAGAATTGACATTCTTTCTTGGACTACAAATCAAGCAACTTAAAGATGGCATTTTCATCTCTCAAACCAAATACTGCAAAGAGATCCTCAAAAAGTTTGGTATGGACACCTCAAAGGAAGCTAACACACCCATGGGAACTTCATGCTATCTAGACAAGGATGAATCAGGTTTGGAAGTTAATCAAACTATGTATAGAGGTATTATAGGATCAATGTTATACTTAACTGCAAGTAGACCTGATATTATGCATTCTGTCTGTGTGTGTGCTAGATTTTAGGCTTGTCCTAAAGAATCTCATCTAATTGCAGTGAAACATATTTTAAAATACTTAAAAGGAACTACTGGTTTTGGTTTGTGGTATCCGTCTGATGTTTGTATGAGTTTAATAGGATATTCTGATGCTGATTATGGTGGATGTAAAATTGATAGGAAAAGTACTAGTGGGACATGTCATTTGTTAGGTTCATCCTTGTCGCCGCCGTCCCTTTCCGACGTCTGAAGACGTCTCGAACGTTTATGCGAGCGGTCGCGAAAAGATGGTTTAGACTCGCGTATTTGTTTTAAAATGTGTTCATTGCTTCCGAGGTGTTTGACAATTGAATTATCCTCTAATAAAAGCAAGGTTTTCGAAAAGGGGTTCTTATGGAGTCGCCACCAATATTTTGACCAGAAACATTGGAAAAGGAAAAACAAAGGCGTTGATTTTATATAAAAAAAACAACTTGGCCGTTATAACCAGAGTTGGGTAAGGGAGTTAGTTACGTGTGGGGAAGGTGTTAGCACCCCACAACGCCCCTTTCGGGTTCCCTATGACGGATTAATTCATTAAGTGAAGATTATGAGAAATTACGCGATTACCCTATTTTATTGCATAATATTGAAATGACTATCTACATAATTTTATATAAATAAAGCTAAATAAAGCAATAAAAGAGATATTAAAATGGCTATCTACATGATTTTATTCTACATGACATAATAAATAAAATAATAAATAAAGCAATAAAAGAGAAGGGAATTGAAAAGAACCTCCGTAGCAAGCTTTATATTGAGAATCTCGAACTATGAGGCTGCGTTTTGGCAACCCCTCTCTCTATACAGACTCTCGTCACCAATACAAGATCGACTCCACTAAAAATTTAAAGAAGAATCAAATGCCGGAATATAATTCCTTAACCGATTGTTACCTATTTAAGGCAATCAGAAAGATCATTCGAGAGAGGGAGAGAAGTAGACAAGTGCTCTGAGTGTTTCAGAGCTCTTTTGGAGTGTCTGTGTGTTCAAAAAGTGGCAAATGAGCCTCCTATTTATAGTTTTCGCAGCTAGCGCACTTTGGGACGACCGTCTGGGTTGGGACGGCCGTCTGGACTGGGAT